GACTCGTGATTTGCAAAAATGGTTTCAAAACATTTTTATAGGTAATATTTAAAACTGTTATAAAAAGTTGATTGAGTTTGGTTACACACACTTAAAAGAACAAAGATAAAATTATATTCAAATTTAATTGCAAATTTTAAATTTTCTTACAAAAATGCTCGTTTTTAAAAATCAAAATCTGTAAGACAACGTGTATTTAAAGACCGTGTATTATTCGTATATCCTTTTCCATGTTCAATTTTGGTCTGATGCGAAATGTGTGTATGGATAACATCTCTTTGTTAAACCTCCAAATTTCACATTACATGACAATACTCGATGTTTCCTCTATAGCCGTTTTGAGATTTAGACATTCTTGTACCCAAACTTTTGTATCATAGTCATTTAAAAAACTTTGACTTTGGTTTTCTCCCAATTTAATCTCTACAAGACTTACTTCCTTCGAGTAAAGTGATTATACCAATGATTCCAAGATCGAACATCCACGTGACATCTCTACACCACCATGAAAAAGAACAATCACTAATTGATAATCAATGATGTTGCTGACAAAAAAAAAAAAAAATCACCGGAATCAAACACTTTACTAAGAAAGACACCATACTTACACCGAACCGAGACATAAAAAAAGAAACGAAATCAAATCTACTTGCCAAAGAAATCGTCCCTAAATGAGTCACTGTTAACAAATTGCGTGGTGGAATGATGTTTATTGATCTCTCTCGGTTTCAGAATTTCCACCGGTAATACTTTGAACCGGAACCGACAAATGTATTGGCAAACTCGAAAATCGGTTAGACATCTCTCCTTCGGCATTATCCCGATCACATCAACAACCAGGCCACTATCATAATGAAGATAGATAGGAACCGATCGATATAAAAACCACCACAGGGACAAACACATCACTACACTAATCGCCAACACCTTATCAAGAAATCAACAAAGATCCTCCTTTCGAAGAAGAAGAAGAAATCAAACGTCTCATGTTAGGCCATCCTTAACCATGACACTCTTAGAGTGTCTTTAAATAAACAAATATTAAAAACACTATCTCTCTTCCTTTTATTCAATTTTATACCTT